TATAACCGTGACCGTCGTTAAAGTTTATCATATTTGTATAAAAAAAATAACGAGTAAATTGTTATAAATTTATATTGAAATAAAATATATTAATACATTTGTGTTTAAATTCCAATATGTTTTTTATTTCTACAATTAAAATTAAAAACACGTTATAAAATTTCGGACAAACATTTGTAATTCAGGGGACACAATTTCTTAGGTCCTGCTCAGTATATCAACTAAATTGCCCTACATCCTATATATTCTGAACTTACAACTTAACATCAGTGGTGTAACTATGATGATAAGTAAGCATAAGTCTGATTTTTTTACCTCGAAAGAATCAAATTAATTAAATTATACTCTGGAAAAAATATTATCAGACAATCATTTTATAAAAACGATAAAACATAGTCGGACGATAAGATCGACGAACTCGTTAGACAGACGTAGACAGACTTCAGAAAGTTCGATAAAACAGATAATTATAATTTATTTTTTATTTTTGTAAAACACAGTTTTTAGTAAGTTATCAGTAAATAATCTTTAAGGCCAACACGGTTTATTAAGTCGCAAAGGTATGCAGTATACACAGTGATCGACATAACATACTCATTATTTCGGAAAATATTAACTTTTTTCGGAATTTTGTTTTTTCGAATATTTAAGAAACACTTCGCTCTAAAGTGTTCCATTACTATTATATTTTACCCACTTTTGATTTTAAAACTGTAACTTGCATTACAAGTTTCGTAAATAGATGGAATTTTTAGTTAAAAATATAAATGTTAGTGATGAAATGTTTACCTTCCGACAATCGGTTAACGAGATATTTTACTTTTAAATTTGGACAAGAGAATCGGAGTATAATGGAATAATATCTGTATAACTGCGCGGCGCGCGGCTTTTGAATTGCGTTCTGCCTCTAACAAAATCGAAAACTTAAAATGAAATATCTCGATGATATAAACTATAAACTTCAATGCCAAAATTTTATTTAAACTAAAACTTCATCTATTTATGGAAACTTCAATACACGTTGTAATTTAAAAATCAATAATAGATAGTGATTTGCGTGAATGTAACATTTTAGAACCGTGCTTGATTGTTAAATATTCTAAAAAAATGTATATAAAGATGTAATGAGTGTCTTACGTTGAGCTGATCACGATGTATATACAACCAACGCCACAGGCTCTATTTTACAATTACCATTACAATACATTGATAAAAGTTAATTTGTTTGATGATTACTAATTTTTAAGGTACGAACAACTTTATAAAGTAGGCATAAGTATATCTTATAGCAATATCTCGGGGGGAAAAATATCCGGTGAAAATGTCTCATCGCGTGAAACGGTTTTGGGAAAAATATGTTAATGTGATAAAATTGTCGATTTATATTATTCTGTTTAGCGACCTTTCGATCGGAAATAAAGTAAAATTAGTAAAATGATATAATGGACTTATTGGTACTATATTATTATTTTACACAACATTTGAAAACCCGGATTGTCTAAACTTATTGCAACAGGGATTAGAACCGAAAGAAAAAATATCGTTCGTCGAGACTGATCGTGTCTCGAACTATATTACAATGTTTTTGTTTGGACGTTTTCGACTTCCGTAGAACATTATTATTTTATGTGAAACTATCGGCACATTATTCACTCATTTCTCAGTAGTGAAGCCAGCGATAAGTCCTGGTGGACTCGGGCCTGCACAGTTTTATCCAAAAATAAGTTTTCGAAAATTCCATTATGACTATTGTGTAGACTGTAACATAAAAAAATGTGGTAAAATGCGAATATTTTTCATCAAAAGAAAAAAAAAGACCGACATATCTTGTACTATGGGTAGCCCACTGTTGTAAGTAAGAAGTTGATTAGGTAGAGGGGAAATTTAATGTGTATCTATATGAAAATATTAATCAATGACCATTGTTAACGAAAATCGATTCTGAGCGGAGTTCGGCTGTACGTGATTTGAAAAGCCGTAATATTTACAATTTGTAAATAATACATTTCTTGCATTTTTCTTTTTTTCTCATTTATCATGAAAAATCTGGAAAAATAAAAAAATTACCTCATTAAAGTACCACCGCGGTCAATTTACTTTCAGAAAAAGTGCTATACTACACTTGAAAATCGGAATAAAAAAAAAGTTGTTCAAAAAATAACCTTATCATTATAAAATTAATCGCACCGCTCAGAATCTAAAAAAAAGTTCGGTTTTACTTTTCACCATTATTTTCAACAGGAACTAAGCTAAAATAATCTAAAATGTTTGAAGTTACCTTTCTTTTATTTTGGCCAGTATTATCTAGAATTTTGTTTATTCACGTTATAGCTTCCATAAAAACAATCGGATTTTTCTTCTATCGGTGTATATAAAATAAGTGAACAATAAATTATTGTCTTTATCAAAAATAACCAAAATATGCATTTCGTTAAAAAGTGAAGGCATCTGCTCAGTTATAAACGTAGAATACCAAAAAAAAAAAAAAAACATTTTATTATTCTACCTACCTTGAGTGATAAATAAATGTATTAGTATTTAGGAAAAGACTCAGGCCCTCTCGGCCACTTAAATATGCCACTGCGTTTGTCGTGACAAATTTTTTTCGCACAAAACCCCTCAATTTATTGTTATATCGAAACATTTTCGATTTATCAGTCAAATGAATTTATTACTAGAGTAGACATAAATACCCTATCAATCATCGGTGTCAATCGGTTAAAACATTATTTTTATCAGGATCTATTATTTTCATATTGTAGTTTTACGAAGTAAAAAGAAAACCAAGTGTAGCTAGAATTATGTAATTCACAAAATATTTTATGTTCACACTATTATCTTCTCCGTCCAGAACCAGATTAACCACTAAGAGTTAGAGCCCGTGATCCAGGTGGAACAAATTATTAATATTTTAAGTTTAACGTTGTATGAAAATTTTCAAATCCTAATTTTATTTTTATAAAACGTTTTTATTTTGATTCGGTTTGTTGGCATATATATTCATATACATTCAGTGGTATCTTGTTCTGGAGGAGAGTAAGGGCTTAGAAAAATTAGGAACATTTTTTTTCCTATTAATTAAACACATACATGGGCGCTGGCTTTTTCCAATTCCATGAGGTGCCCAGCCACGTAAAAAGCCGATAATTAAAAAAAAAAATAGTGCTCCTTATTTGTTAAACTTAATTATATTTAGTGCGTACCCACTATATATGTTAAGTCACATGAAAAAATAATTTAGGCAAAATTTGAAAATGTGTTCTGCCGTGTTCGACGGATGTTTCTAGTGCTGTTAATATTACATTTTTTTCGATTTTTTTTTTCTTTCAATCGATTTGTCTTCGAGAGGGACATCGATTTGGAGAAAAATTAAATTTTTATTTTTATCCCCTAAACACAAAAAAAAATGTATTATTGTTATTATTTATTCACTAAAAATATTTTATAAATAGTCATTTTCTAAAAAATTTTTTTTTTAGTGGATGAAAATAAAAATTTATCTTTTTTATCCAAATCGATGTCCTCCTTGAACACAAACCGATTGAAAAAAAAATCGATCTAAAGAGATTATTCTGTAAAATCGTTTCCGATGTAAATAGATAAAATTTAGTTATTGGTCATAAATTATATAAGGGCCTTTTGGAAGTTTAGATTATTGGGCTACGGACACGGTAAATTCTTAATTCCATTGATATCAAATTGGATCAATTTTTTTATCAGCACATCACATTAGAAACATTTGATTTATCAAATGTATAGAGAATAATGATGTAAATTATTTGTGAATTAGGTTAGACTAAAAAAAAAAAAAGGAAGATAAAAACACAACCTTATAGTCATTTTTTGTTGTTTAATTTTTTTTAATCTTATTTGTAGAAATATGCATATAATTAATAAGTATCGAATTGTTTCTAAGTAGAGAATGCAATTCTCTACTTAGTCTAAGAAACTATTATGAAAATGTTAGTTGGAAAATTAAAATATGAGTACTTTTAATTGAATATCGATTAGAATCGTAAGCTCATAATTTTACTAAGAAAAAGGTCTAACCCCTATTTCGCCATTAAAGGCGAACATAAAAACGGATAATGGTGTAATTGATTTCACTTGTTAGGCTTTTTGAGACAATTATTATTGTCTAATAATTTATCAAATAATTTCTCATTGACCTTAAAGAAGATAAAAAAAATACAATAATTGGTAACGCAATCTGATAATAATAATGTTTAATTATTTCAACGATTTTCGGAACATCAAAAAATATTATATATGAACACTAAATAATCTATAGTGATCTAATTAATTTTTTTTTAATGACGTATTCCAATATAAAAGGTCAAACAACGTTACTACGTAAGTACAATATCCGCGAATTTCAACGTTATATGGTTAATATAAATGATATAATGATTAATTTATAGAATGTATAATAGTTTTTACTTATATACATTCCAGGTTTTCTGAAGTCGTACGAATGAATGCAATACAATTTTTGACAATTATTAAGAAAACTACATGAAAAATCAAAAAATGACCTCCTCAATACACCATATGTATTTAATTGATCTAGTGCACCAATGTACATAGATGCCAAATGCAACAAATGGTTTTATGTCATTTTTTGATTAGAAGATTTCCTGGTAAAAAAGTTGTACAGAGCCCCCTCCCAAAAAAAAAGAACACATCATAGTAAAACCAATACATTCTTCAATCCACTCAGAATTTAATATTGATTAATAAACACCCTGCTATGCTTAGTATTTACCAGTACTACAAATGTCATTTAAATTGCCTATGTATAACCCCGTAAAAAATAATATAACAAATAGTCATGTTTTTTGAAAATTTGATGGAATACACAAAATATACACTGTACTTCAAGGTAGGTACTTGTATAGTATACAAGAACCTATATATTATTAGGTCTACACAAAAGATTTAGAATTGTATAAAATATTTAATTTTTATTTATAATATAAACAAATATATAATTGTAGTAAGGACATTGTGTAAGAACTAATTGGTAGATATCATCAATGAAATGATTACAAATTAAACAATTATTTACAATACAAATTAAGATTTTATTTTAAAATTATTTTACTAATCCCTACAAATGTCCATACTGTCTTTTTCGATGTTTATGTGGTTGTCCATAGTTATGGAAGATAATATGGTTGGAGATATTGCAGAATGATAGACTAGTGTTTCAGAAAGATGATTTAGAATGACAAAATTATATTTTTCGATGCCACTAATTGAACATAAAACTACATTCAATTTGTTGATATTTAATGACTGATTAAACAATATGGGGTTAGATTATCATAATAGTTGTTGATATGGTAACTAAATTGAAAACTGAGTTTCCAGTTTAGTTGTTTTAGAATATTAAGTAAATGTTTGTAGTTGTTTTATTAATGTGGAATATCAGTTAAACCGAGATGGAGGTTTGAGCTCGAAGTAGTTGGAAGGATACATAAAACCGTATCTATATGTGGGTTCGTAATGTGGATTGTTTGATATATATCTATATTACTGTACAGTTTGTGGATTCCTTATTCGCTTAATAATATTAAGAACTTCACAGCAAAACTCGATCTTCTGGTCTTCTGTAAAACCACTAATAGATGGAAGGATACTTTCGAAAAATGATCTGTCTGGAATATTTGATAGAGTTGTAGGAATTAAAGTATTTATAAACTCTATGATAGACTCTATGTCACATTTACGCTTCTTTGTGGAATTCTGTTCATTGAGAAGGGAACATTCTGATCTATCTAATTGTGATGTATTGTTGTGTAACTCTTGTTGTTCTACAGATTCTTCCTGATCGAATAGTAAATTGTTATCTATGCTGGACTGAGGATCTCTTGTGGCATCAGTAGTTTGTAATAATGATAATTGCTGTGAATAAATATACCCTCTACCAGAGATAGCAGCTTGTCCCGATTTAATTTTTTTTTTTTCACTTTTAGTATAGTGATCCTTGATTTTTTTCCACTTAAGCATCAATTTGTTGCCTGAAATATCAATAATTAAATAATTTAAAAAAAAACATTGAAAATTGTAAATTGAAATTAAGTAAATAAATATATAAATAAAATAAATAAATGAATCAATACATCCAATCATAAAATTACATAATCAATATAATCCGATTTGTCCATTAACTTTAAAACTGCTCCAACTATTAACCTTGCTAAATATTTAATTATTTCTCAAAAAGAAAAATTAAACATGAATACTGATACTTCTATATAGAACACTTATGATTTTGTTGATAAAATTAATATTAAGCCAGATTACAAAATGATTTCTCTTGACGTCAAAAATGAATATACATTCATTCTCTATTCCTAAACATGAAACAGAAAATTTTTTAAAAAAAACTTATACAAAATTTAAACAGTTTTTACAATAATAATTAACAAATTTAATATGAACGAAGTACAAGAAATTATTCAATCAATAAATGTAATTATTAATTAAAACTATTTCCAATATAATAATAAATTATAACCACAAAAAGATGAGTTAGTTATGGGTAGTCCATTAAGTGCTCTTTTATCTGAAATTTATATGCAAAATTATGAAACCAATAAGTAACAAAAAAATATACAGTCCATATATAAAAGCATATTAATGTTATAGATGACACGTTCATTTTATTTAGAGATTCAAATAGACAAACAGAAAATTTAGTTAACTACTTAAACAAAATAAATAAAAACATTCAATTTACATGTGAAATACAAATGAATAATAAATTACATTTTTTAAATCTTACAGTTTCCATAATAAACAATAAATTTGATTTTAGTGTTAACAGGAAACCTACACAAAATGATGCTATAATACCACATGATTCTGATCATCTTTATTCTCAAAAAATATCATTTTTTAATTCAATATTCTATAGGCTTGAACGTATTCCATTAAATAAGCATAATTATCGATACAAGCTCAATATTATAGCCCATAAAAATAATTTTATTTTAAATACTATTAAAAAAAATTCATAAACGTATTGAAGAAAAAATAATACACAACTCACTAAATAATGTTAACTATTACAGTATAATATATAAAAATAATATGTTTAACGAATTCGCTAAAATTCTGAACAATACAAATAATGTAAAAATCGCTTGTTAGACTTATAATAATTTAATCAAACATTTAAACAATAGTACTAAAACCTTCACAAAATATCCCCCTTCTTTTGTAAATGTTGGTATATATAAACTTAAATGTAACTAGAATAAATTTTACATAGAGAAGACAAAAAGAAATTTTACAATAGATAAAAAGATATAAAAAACACATTTCTGAAAAAAAATTTAAAAAGACTGCCCCTAATTCAAATTTCATTAAACATGTTTTAGAAAATAACCATAATATAAGTTTTGATATTGATACAGACTTAGATACTAAATACTCAAAATAACATACACATTAATTCAGTTTTATAAGAATTATATACATACAATTAAATAAAGAAAACTAATTTTAATAATATTTTAATTGTTCAAATATATTTTTAAAATGAAGTCTTATATCAATACATTTTAGATAATAAATAATAACCAAATAATTTATATTTCTTAACATATCTATGTCTAATAATAACCCATTTTAAATAATCTCTCTTAATAAAATAAATTATTTCTATATAAAATGACCAATTTGTATAATTTTTATTTTCTATGTATTCCTTCATTTAATTTTTTATATGCAGTAATGTTTTACATTTTGACTGTGATATACCCGATGAATTTTTAATTATAAACTGATCGTTTAATACACTTATCAAAATACTCCAACCTTGATTCATTTATTTATTTTTTTTTTATGTATACATTTATTTACTTTATTTATAATAATTTGAAAAATGAGTAATTTTTGTTTGTTTATACGAATCATGAGCTTTTTTCATAGATACGTTTTTATTTTTCTTAGTAACATTACTATTTAGTATTTATACATGCATTATGATGAAGGGTGACTTATAACAGAAGTTCACAGATGAAAGAGTGACGGATAATCAAGATTTTACTGGATTTACATAAGTTTATTAATATATGTTATTGTTTATTATATAAATAAAATTTTTGTTAAATTAAATAAGTAATACAGTAAAACCTCCTTATAATGGAACTGATATAACAATATAATATAACAACTGATTTTTCCAACAATAAAAAAAAAAAATTTAATATAGGGAGACTAAAATATACGGCATGTGGATTATGCAGAACTGTTTTCTGTTTTAAGGAGATTTCCGCTATATAAAGGGTTGTGAGGAGGTTTTACTGTAATAATAAAATAAAATATTTTAAATATAAATAAATAATTGAAACCTTGATCAGCAAATTTAATAAAAATAACAATATTCAAATATGTTAAAAAGGAGAACGCAAGCAACATATTTTATGTATACTAAGGGTAGTGGAAAATTGTTTTTATTGTTGCTAGGACTAGGATACCTTAAGTATTCTAGACTAAAAATTAATTTAGTAATAAGTGTATTTAAAACTATTCAATTGCTAATGTATTGAAGCATGAATTATTATTAAATATGAATATATTATGTTATAGATAAACAAATAGGTAGTTTAGTTTATATTATTTGTAATACTTGTGTCTTGCTTTTAATTTGTATTAATTTTAAAATTTACAATAAAAATAAAAATCATTCTTGTATCTTGCATAACAGCATAATATAGAAATAACAAATGCAATAACAACATAAATAGTTAATATTAACATTTTAAATACCTACTAAACAGCTAATATTTCTGTTAAAATTATATGGAATAAATGAAATAAAATTAATCTTTCAAGTTTCAAAAACATAAAACAAGTCCACTATGCGAGCTTACTAAATGATTGGTTTCTAAAGTTATTTTAAATAAAAAACTATAATTCTATGCATAATTTTAAAAGAATTCGGTAATTTCGAACCAAGATAATGATTATGTGTAGAAACCTAAATAAATTAAATATCTTATAATTATAAATAATTGACCTATTTTGTGCAATAATAATTTTATAGGTAAATAATAAGTTTCTATTTTCTTGTTAACCAAGTCTTAAGACTTTGAAGAAAATGTTTAAAATGGATTGCCTCAATGGCCAAAAATGGAATGTTAATCAAAAAATAGTTTTGATAGTTCTAAATTTCATTTATCTATTTCAAAAAGTATAATTTTATCACAAAACACCAATAGGTTGATCTAGGATATTTCCCTTAGCCCCCGGAAAAAAACCGATGTAAACAGACAATCGGTACCCAACATAATTTGTTTTACATGGACAATTGGTCTCTGCCTTTATATGTATAATTCAATAATTAAAGTTATCACTTATTTTTACTTATAGTATCTAACTAATTAGATAATATAATAATAACTGAAACATTATTTTAATACTAATACATAAAATAACTAATATTTTAAAAATGTTCATCTACATCATATTTTTTGAAGCATAAAATGTTAAGCTAATGTTTAATATTAACACTTAAACCATACAAATAACTGAAGAGTTCATCTTTTGAAAAGTTGATATTAAAGCTATTACAAATAGATATACAAGTTTCCATGCATGATAAAATAAAACTTCCCCAGTTCTCCTTATATTCACCAATGAAGGGCTTTACATTTTTAATACAATTTTATCTCAAAATACTATTCTTAGGGTTATTATTATTATTTATGATTACATAGTTCACCAGTATAAGATTAAAAATGGAAATATAAAAATATGAAATAAAACTCTATAAATATTTTTTTTTTAAAATAATCATTTTTAAATTGGGACAATAGGCAAATTGATTATTACCAAAATTTGTTTCTTATCTTACCTTATTCAAAAATGAGATATTTAAATTTAATAAAAAAAATATTCAAATATAGGAATACAAATTTGACCTAGAACCAATTGTCCGTGTAAACAATTATAATAGGAGCTGATTGTCCGCATATGGAATTTTTTCGTGACCAATTGTCCACTTACTTTAATAATACTGTATCATGATTATGCTTTGTCTTTTTGTATGATAAATTAAATTTGGTTTTTGAGGTGGTGATATTGATAAAAAATGTAATGTTGACTATCAAATAATGTTATCAATATTGTTGTCACCAGAATTATAGTTTATATTTTGTTTACTACATGCATCGTTTTTATCCAACAGCAAAGAACCAGTTTGGGATATGGTCAATGGTTTTTTAATTTCAATTGTTATATAAGATTCACCAAATTAAATCACTGTACATAAATCAAAAGTGATCATTTTTTCCCCTTTTACTAGTCTTACTTAAATCATTTTTAGAAACCATTGAACTGTTAATAGACTATAGTGGACTTGGCTCTGGTGATAGTGGTTCTGCAGATGTAAATAAACAAATATTTCTGTGGATTTTCAATCTATCAACACTTGTATTCTTTAATATTTTATGACAAATCATGCATAATGCATTGTGTTTATTATCTGAAACAAGAATAAAGAACAACAAAATCATGATTTTAATAAATTAATAAGTTTTAATATTAATAAAGTAAATACTAAAAAGTAAAAGTTACCTATTGGTTATTAATCTATTATCAATTAATATCATATTTGAAATACCGGTTGAACTCTTATTAATTTCTAAGTAGATAATAAATTAATAAAAAATGAGTAATTTCTGTTAGTCGCTTACCTTTTATTGGATCTTTGATGCGATTAAAGCCCATACTCCAAACTACATGCTTTGGTCTACCTCCTATTGACATAGTTATTACTATTTTACTATTTTTACTAATTCTTTTAGTTTAATTGGCATACTCAGTAGGTACTATTTTATACAATTTTATAATTCAAAATTCTATAGATACCTACTAAAATCAAGTACCGTGAGTCCGTGGCCCGTGTGGCCGTGTATGGTATATACGCTGTACTAGTGATAACGATGTTGTGAGATTACACATATCACAATCCAAACAAACCGGTGTTCCTATGACCACGGACGTACATAAAGTTCAGTGGTCCGTGATTATGACATAAGATTGCAGAATTTTGAACTTTATAAAAAATAATATATTTAATATGATTTTTTGGCACATTATGATGTACATGAAATGTGCAATTAATAATTACATCGTTTTAGATCTGAAAAATGAATATAATTTAAACAAATAAATAAACATAATTTGGCGGGAAATTTTTTGTGAACAGACACTACAGTATATGTATACCATGGTCTAAGGTAGACTATAGATTAATTCTATCTTAAATCATGGTATATACACTACATAATTAGATTAGGTTATATTGTTATTGTTCCATTGCTTTCCTCCTATCGTAACGTGATATCTCTATGATGAAATATCTCTTCTCGTCAACGCGTTGACGGAAATCAAAAATTCAACAATAAAATGTAGTTAGATTAATACTCCGTCTATTTATGGAATTTTGAATACAGACTCTAATTTGAACTTCAAAAATAGACCCCCAAAGTAGGCTGAAACACTAATTACATATATTTAAATCCTTTGGGCTTTAATATTGAATTGTAAAAATAAAGTTCTATTTCATTCTATTGTGAAGTAACTCAAATTTGTATATAGATATCTATAAAGTTCTGGATAGGTATCTCAGTAATTTTAATTTTATAGGCTAAAACGTTAGTTTAAAAAAATGCATCTCGTATTACTTAAAATAAAAATAGGAAGAAATGGAAATCGGAAAAAAAATAAGATAGAATCTTTCCATTCTGCGAAGAGACACGAGTTATATCTAGTGCTGCGCCTCGGGCTATTATGCGTCCGGCATTTGGCCGGCGGCTAGGCAACTTTCAATGCCGTAGGACGTGTATGTGAGTAAGTGATAAGGAACGGAAAAAGTGGTATTCACAATAAAGGGAAAATAAATATATTTATGTGATAAACAATAGTTTAATTATTTAATAACGATAACTAGCCAGTATAATCAGGCAGGCTCTTCCTTAAGACGAAAATCAAGAGGGGTGAACATTTCTAAAAATAACGACTATAACACTATTGTTTTAATAAAAGAATAGTCGTCTAAAAATGTTTATAAAAATATACCACATACTAACTTTGTTCGTTTTAAAAACTTGACGTTAACAGTTTAAAGCTATTTAAATTATCGATAAATTTAAAATAAATCATGAATATTAATGTATTTATAATCATTTATAATAGTAAAGAAATCAGAAAATAATACATAATATCTATATTAAATTGTTGATATAAAATTACGATTTATTTAGGTATTTTGTTAAATTAAAAAATAATTTATTGATTCTTAGATACTTTCCTTAAGCTACACAATAGTTTCTATCTAAGATACAGATATATTTGTTACAAAGTATCTAGATACAAGATACAAAAAAAGTATTTATATACTACAATTAGTAATAATTAATTTAATAATCTAATAAGGCTTTAGTTTATGTACACTAGGTATAAACTTTTTATTTTATAGTTTTCAAACATTTGTAGAAAGCCTTTTTATAGTTAATTCGTGATACTCAATTATTTCTTAAAGTTCAAAGAAAAGTACCTATAATTTGCAACAGGTTATAAAATCGCATGGACTAACTGATTATTATATCAAACAATAATAAAAACAGCTCTTTTATTTAATAAAAAATTAATATCGAAATAAATTAAAAATCATTTTTAATGATACGCCAAATGTTTTATGAAATATATATATAAAAATATTTAGAGTCTCAAAAGTTCACACAATAAATATTGTTTAAGAGCCATCAGACATTTTAATACCTTATATGTTAAAGTCAATTTTGTAAAATTAGTTAATATTGTTATATTTATACGTTTTTGTATATGAAAACTGTATGTGTACTGTTAGTTTTAACATTAGGGTGTATTTGTCTATTATTAAACCTAAAGATAAGAACATTGTCTATATTTTTGTATGTTAGTTTTTTCGATGTTTTAATTTTCAAACGAGTTACGAATCTGTAAAATATTACTATTTTAAAATCATTCTATCTCGCTAAGAAATTAAAATATTGAAAAAATCCAACGTATAAACACAAACAATATTCTCACTTTTAAGTTTGATAACAGACCAATAGTGGGCACAAAACTCTGTTATCGTCCTTTTATCTGTTGTAATGAAAAAACTATGATAAGATTGTGATAAGCACGATACAACATATAAGTTATTAAATATGTTATATAATGTGTCAAATAGTTTTAAAAGATAATTATGTATAAAACATTACCTATCTTGTCCGTAAACAAGCCGGGTATCTTTTTATTCTTAGCAACGTAGTATGGGTGGTCTCTGGGTGGGCTGGTCGAGTCTTTGCACTTCTACAGTCCAGGTTTACATAAAAATCTTTAGTCTCCATATAATACAACGAGTCTGAAAAAAAAAGAAATATAGTACCGTACATAAAAAAAAAAAAAATAATAATTTACACGTATCGGTATATATCAAATTAATGGTGTTTTTAAAATGCTACCCCATAACGATATAATGGTAATCATACATTTTAATTTTTGAGGTATTGAGAACAGCAAATTCAATATAAATCAGCTTACAGAAAAAATTTTGTTCTCTAGCGATACAGCACACAGATTTTTGCTATATGTTGTACAATATTTGAACGTTGTTTTATTTATCAGTTTCTGCATTCTCCTCTCACACAACCCCAGTTTAAACTCTATTCTCCGTTTCATCAATTAAAAATGGTAAATAACAGAATACTTTTAATAATAATAATAAATTATCGAAAAAAATCATTGATCAAAAGTTTGTAGAAATCGTTTTCACAATCATTAGCAGCCTTCTTCCTCATATCGGTGTTTAAGTTTATGTATTATGCAAGCCATAGTGACTGGCTTAGTTAAATACCTATACAATACATTTACATACATCATCTAATAAAACTAACCTGGCTATATAACCAAAAAAACAAAAACAAATCCGCCTTACTACTCAAGATGAGTTAAATTTGGTAGCTGCAGAATACTTAAATTACAAAAAAAAAACTCGATATAGCCAGATCTAAATATGAAATTTATCCAAAGCATTTTACAAGACCCAAAAATTTTAAATCCATATTCTAACACATTATTTAAAATTTATATGATTCTAAACTAAAAATATCAAGTTTTTGGAACAAGTACAATTATAATAAAGACACAAGAGAATAAGAATCTACAAAATATGATTTCATATGAAGTATAAAATCTACTAACTACAACAAAAATCAATTTTGTCACCTATATGAAGTAAATGGTTTGTTTGTTTTTAATAAATACATGTTATCCAATTATACAATAACATTATAATTTATTCATTATGTTATACTTATTAAATTAAATTGTTTTAATAACCAAAATTTTTCCTAAGTTCGGATAATATTATTATTATTATTTTTGTTTTTGTTAAACTAAATTATAACAGATAGGTTTTAAAATATTATGTTGTATTGTTTTAATAGAAACAACTTGTTCTCAATTTTGAGTAATAATAATTAATCTTTTTTTTTTACATACTTCCTACCTACATTTTATTGAGTTGTTGTATAAAATTAAGTACTTTTTTTGTTATATGTACTACTTTTATAATACAAATATGTGATGACTAAACACTTTTATTAACCTTAACTGTATTATATACTATATTATTTACACCTAATCTTATATTTTCATCCAAAACAGCGGCAGAGTATTGCATAGTATAACTGTGTCATATAATTGTAATATATTAAGATTAATATCTATGTTAGATTCTTAATATTTTATTAGATTATTATGTAAGATCCTTTAATACAAGTATTTTGATTTCAAAAAAATAAAATAAAATAAAAATACATATATATAACAAACATGTCCTTAATTACATTCATTATATAAGATACAAAAATTATATATTATACATATATTTTTTAATACAAATAAATAAATAAAAAAAAATGTATAGAAACCTATTCTGAAATGTTATAATTCAAAATATATAGGTGAGTAATTAAATCATTTTTAAAATTAATTTTATTATTTAAGATATTAAAACTGTATCAAGTATTTAAAACAACTTTAACTCAATGTAATTAACAACCGCTCATTTGTAGTTAATGCTCGGTCGAATCGAGTAATTTTTTTCTATTTTATCATGAATTTATCCGATTCCCAAAAAGTCATCAATTTTTTATGGTACGGTTGCACCCAATAGTTTTGTTTTTTCTATTTCATTATTACTTAGCAACAACGATAATGCTGAATGCTCATCATCTGAACTCAACATAATTGCTATATAAAGACTATATTTAGGACTTAAAAATATATATAAAATAATAAATTGTATTTGTTGTTTTAAAAAAACAAAACAACATTAAAAATGTTAGTATAATATTAGTATTCTAACAATCACACGGTCTTAGGGTGTAGATAGTAGTATCTATTCACTGTGCTGAAACTGTAAATCCCAAGTGTGCTTTGGCTTGCATTTGCAGCGTATTCCGCAACGCCGAGTCGCACAACTCACCACCACCTAGGTGTGCGCTTCGTCTAAATATTCATGATGAAAAATAATAATCATTAAATAAAAGTAAACATTTGCTTTTATAAAATTTTATCAAATGTTTTTATTGTTTAAATATTGACACAAAAAGAATTAATGATAATAATATAATTGAATGGTGTATAATATAAAAATATTAAATTATATTTGTTAAAGTATAATTGATACCTATAGTAGCTATGAACATAAACATATCTGTGTGTAAATAAACTACAAATTATTAAGATATAAACATAATTTCTTCAAAGATAAATATTTTGTTTATGATAATAATATAATTGAATGGTGTATAATATAAAAATATTAAATTATATTTGTTAAAGTATAACTGATACCTATAGTAGCTATGAACATAAACATTTCTGTGTGTAAATAAACTACAAATTATTAAGATATAAACATAATTTCTTCAAAGATAGATATTTTGTTTATTTAAAAAAATAATAGCAGAATGCCTTCTTATAATTATTAAGAATTCCTGGGACTTACTTAAGAATTCTCAGGCATCTTAGACTTCATTTAGAATTCCTGGACTTCTTATGATTTGTACACTACCTTCCTTTCCGAATGACCCATCGTAATAATTATAAAAAAATCTTAATAAGGCAATTATAAACCCCCCCCCCCCAAAAAAAAAAAAATAATGTCAAATGCGGTACATATCAGAAGTGATCACTGTAGGGTTTACGGCTTTACGGGAGGGTCAGATATTATCTCTCCTCCTACCTGGGGGCCTTTGTAGCATGATTGGTCTGCACACCGTCGTCTCATCATTTTCTCCAGATTCGTCACTATTTTCTTCCAGACTCATTCCTTCGCCTAATGCATTTTCCAATTGCCAGGATTTTAATTGTATCACATGAGCAAGAATATTGACCCGACTGATCCTAGGCGGCTCCGATTCAACCACTCTGGCACTTGTTTGGCCCATTCGCTGACATGAACGGGTCCGCATCTTCTCAACGGTTTTTGGGACAATCGTTTTCCCGGGCATTCTAGTTTTATTAGCAATGCACTTGGAACGCCGCGAATGAGCTGGATTCCTTTTCTCCCATTTTAGCAAATCGCGGAGAAGTTCTTTTTTTGACTGAGGAACTCTTTTCGACGCGTACAAAGCCATATCGCGCGAAAATAACCCTTTTAGCACTTGTTCTCTTGTTTCAACAAACGGAAGTGCTAGTTGGCGGCACATACGTACCTTGGATTGGAAATAATCCATAACGCATTCGTTTTCCTTCTGGACACGCGCCTTCAACAAGTCGTAGCGGTCCAATGTATTTGTATTGAGTATGAAAGTGGTTCGGAATCGATGTTCGAAATCAGACCAATCCATGATCTTCCTATCACTGAACCAATCGCGAGCGGCTCCCTCTAAGTTTTTTCGAACATAGTATAACCGATTATTAAACGGCCAATCATTTGCCGTCGCAATGGCATTGACATCCGACAGCCAAATTTCAGCCTGTTGAGGAGTCTCTCGTCCCGTAAAGTGAGTAAACGACATAACTAAATCTGGCTTCACTAGGAATTCATATTTATTCGGCTTTGGCTCCATCGTTGTATTTGATAAACCGTCCAACACTTCCAATTCGTTGGACGAAGTATTTAATAAAGAGGTCATTACCTGGACCTGATCACGGATTTCCGAAACAAGACTATGTAATTCGCTGTATGTATGTGTGTGACACACTCTACGGTTTGGAATGGATTCACTTACTCCGTTACCCTTCGACATAGCGGCGTTAATCGAAACAACCGGGACCCAAGCAGCGGCTATTTCGCATCAACGGACTACGCACAACTGTTTACTTCTTTTTTTTTTTCACGAACCGATAACAACCACGATTACAATTGTTAACGTTCACGGTTACGATTGATAGCACCAAAGAATACCACGACCGATGTCGAACGAGAGTGAGGTTAGCTCACGTTAGGGTACTCTCCGCGCTTGCAAACGACCCGTTTTCGGGCGACGACAACAATTTCGACAATCTACGTAAATTCCGCGACGACAATAAACTCGTACGACTACAACGATAATAACAATTTCGACCCACGCAGTAGGTACTTACGGGTTGCAATTCTCGACCACGGATATACGCACTACACACAACAGATCCATATCCCGCTTATAAAATAATGTAAACTCCAAAAGACAATGACGCAACGTTTTACAATATTACATTAATTGTTCTTTTATGCACACGATTTCAACTTACAACAACAAAAGAAAAAAAATAGGAATTAAAGTACAATTTCTATAGATTTAATGTTTGACACCGCAAGGTATACCGCTGGTCGACTGCCACGTACACACGCTATCGGGAAAAGATAAGAAATAGTAGTAGCACTGCTATTTTACTATAGCAATAACGGACTGCTATTTAGTGTTAAAACCCACGCTGCCCGCAAACAAGGCCAAGAGCAGTCCAAGTGTAATGGAAATTTATACTTTTACGAGCTTAACTAGTATTGCTAATTGCTATAAAATTAGCTGTTAGTAATAAAGGATATTAAAATTACACGATAACATCATATTATCAGCTGTTTAATAAAAACAGCAATAGAAGACATTTAAAATTGGCAATTACATTAGTAGTGACTAAAAATAAAATTTAGCAGATTACCATCACTACTCTCGAGTTACTTCTTAGTACTCAGCGTCTTAGCCACCCGGTTCGGCTACGTTCAGCCACTAATATGATATTGTCAGAAGCGCAAAATAGCGGCGTTAACAACAAGTATCTTTGAAATAGTGTATTATACTTTTAAATTCTTCAAAAAAATTTGAAGTAATTATACCTTTTACATATATTCAATTGATACAAATGAAATTATATTTTAGATCTTTGTACTGTTGTCTTTATGTATTAAACCACATTTAATTCTCCATCTCATAATAAATACTCTCATATCATACTCGACATAAATTAAATGTCAACACTTACTTTCCTTTTGTTAGAATCTGTTTTGCACAATATGGGCAAAGTTAACTTTTCTGTTAACGCTTAATAATACGTCTCTAAGAACCAAGCCAGACAAATTAGGTTGAAATTCTAACGAAAATTAATTGAATGTAATGATCTTTATAATACATACACTCTGTGTTACACATTATGATTGTTATTTTACGAATTAACAATTTTCTCTGGAGATATCAAAATAATTTCATTTCTGTTATTATTATTATGGAATCGTTAAGGTTTTTTTTTCAATACTATTTTCAAATAAAATTTCCACTCCTTATAACTTAAACATGTGTTAACTTTGTTTTACTGATAGGAACCCTTGGTTTTGAACAGAGATTCGAATGGAAATTATTTCCCTAGATATTTTTATACACATACAACTTATATCAGATTTATGGTTTTTGCTTTATTACAATTTTTATACTGGAGGACTGGGAAGGCGTTATATAAATTAATATATTAGTGACAATAAGGTATTTTTAAAAATAAATAGGTAGAAAGAATTGGCGTTTTACAATTTTCAATTATAAATTATGTGTCATAAAGATACAAAAATATCATTATAATGTTTAACGGAAAGTATACATTTTCTTGTTCCTATAATGTTACAAAATGTTTTAATTGCAATAATGCATAATTGTATTTACTTTCGGTGGTAAGTGTTTTCGGCTATAACTAGTATACACTCGGTAAAATAATGTATTGTAAATATTTATTCTAGAAAATAGTTATACTAATAATTGATAAATAAATTAGAATTATAAAATTACCAACACAATTTTTTTTTTGCTCATTAGGGAAAAATAATTAAAACCTTTTTATTGAGCGAATTGTGATTCTTCAATTAATTCATATGCATACTATAAAATTGATTGTTTTAAAAAAAATGTGTACATAATTATGAAATCAGGAAACAAAAACAAAACCGCCTTTCTACTCATGATGAGTTAAATTCTATAGCTGCACTATACTTGAGTTCCAAAAATAACTTTACAAATACTCGATAAAGCCAGATTTAAATATGAAATTTATCCAAAGGATTTTACAAGACCCAAAACTTTTAAATCCATATTCTAACACATAATTTTAAATTTATATGATTCTAAACTAAAAATGTCAAGTTTTTGGAACAAGTACAATTATAATAAAGACACAAGAGAATAAGAATCTACAAAATATGATTTCATATGAAATATAAAATCCACTAACTACAACAAAAATCAATTTGGTCACCTTTATGAAGTAAATGGTTTGTTTGTTTTTAATAATTACATGTTATCCAATTATATAATAATAATATAATTTATTCATTATGTTATACTGATTTTATTATTTTGTTTTAATAACCAACATTTTTCCTAAGTTCGGATAATATTATTATTATTTTTGTTTTTATTAAACTTAATTTATAACAGATAGGTTTTAAAATATTATGTTGTATTGTTTAATAGAAACAACTTGTTCCCAAGTTTGAGTAATATTCATTAATCTTTTTTTTTTACATACTTCCTATCTTCATTTTATTGAGTTGTTGTATAAAATTAAGTACTTTTTCTGTTATATGTACTACTTTTATAATACAAATATGTGATGACTAAAAATTTTTATCAACCTTAAATGTATTATATACTATATTATTTACACCTAATCCTATATTTTCATCCAAAACAGCGGCAGAGTATTGCATAGTATAACTGTGTCATATAATTGTAAAATATTAAGATTAATATCTATGTTAGATTCTTAATATTTTATTAGATTATTATGTAAGATCCTTTAATACAAGTATTTTGATTTCAAAAAAATAAAATAAAATAAAAATACATATATATAACAAACATGTCCTTAATTACATTCATTATATAAGATACAAAAATTATATATTATACATATATTTTTTAATACAAATAAATAAATAAAAAAAAATGTATAGAAACCTATTCTGAAATGTTATAATTCAAAATATATAGGTGAATAATTAAATCATTTTTAAAATTAATTTTATTATTTAAGATATTAATACTGTATCAAGTATTTAAAACAACTTTAACTCAATGTAATTAACAACCGCTCATTTGTAGTTAATGCTCGGTCGAATCGAGTAATTTTTTTCTATTTTATCATGAATTTATCCGATTCCCAAAAAGTCATCAATTTTTTTATGGTACGGTTGCACCCAATAGTTTTGTTTTTTCTATTTCATTATTACTTAGCAACAACGATAATGCTGAATGCTCATCATCTGAACTCAACATAATTGCTATATAAAGACTATATTTAGGACTTAAAAATATATATAAAATAATAAATTGTATTTGTTGTTTTAAAAAAACNGAGTCGCACAACTCACCACCACCTAGGTGTGCGCTTCGTCTAAATATTCATGATGAAAAATAATAATCATTAAATAAAAGTAAATATTTGCTTTTATAAAATATTATCAAATGTTTTTATTGTTTAAATATTGTCACAAAAAGAATTAATGATAATAATATAATTGAATGGTGTATAATATAAAAATATTAAATTATATTTGTTAAAGTATAACTGATACCTATAGTAGCTATGAACATAAAAATATCTGTGAAGTCATCTTTACTTTATATCAGTGTAAACCTTGTAAACTTCGAAAGACTCAATTACTAATTATAATAATACATTAAAATATAATTTTAATTAAAAGCCTAACCACTAAAATATGCACTTATTATATACAGTCAAAGTCGCTTATATCGATCTTTAATTGTCCTTGGGATTCTGATCGATATATCCAAACTTTATTTCATCCGGATTATAAAATGTAACTTAATTTTTTTGAAAAATTGATTTATAAAACAAATTTTTTACTTTATAATTTTATTTAAGATTACATATTTTAAATTCAAGGTATTTTAAATATTTAATAAAAATACATATTACAGTATATATTTACGGTTATTTTGAAAAATAATCTATTATAGTGGTTTGTTTATAATTTGAATAAGATTTTTTAACAAAATTAGAAATATTGTTTAATGCGTACAGTATGTATATATATCACTGTTTATCGAAACAAAAGTACGCACCTGATCAATATAAAAATAGATTTCCGAAATAGACGATACTTTAAATTCGATTTCTTTGCTCTCTTCGTCAGCTTGTTCACTTTCATCATAATTTGCATTCAAAATAGACAATTTCTTCTCATTGGGTTCTTCATTGGTCAAAAAAGCATCATCAACCTCCATAAAACTCTGTAAGATTTCTTTAGTAAAGCACTCTGTGTCCAAATTATTGTCACTTACTATTTCTTTCTCTGTTTCTTCGTTTAACGAAGCCTTGAATCCAGCGTGGTGGAAATATTTTCTTATTGTAGTGGTAAAAACATCATTCCATGCATCCGAGATCATTAAAATTGCATCTAATACTGAAATTTTAATATCTTTTCCCTGTTCCTCTTAATTAATAATGTTGAGTACTAGTTTTTTCCGAAATTTTACTTTTAACGCTTCGATAATACCTTGATCCATAGATTGTCACACAGAGATCGTATTTGTAGGGAGAAAAATCAACTTTATGAATTCGATATTTTGAATAGGAGGATGAGCAGGACAATTATCTACAGTCAATAGGATATGCCGTTTTTATTGCGTTTATATTATTTATTTTCTTAGTGATACATTTTTAAAAATAAAATAAAACAAGAATGAACACCTAAAAATAGGTATGAAAAACAGTTTTGAATTATATTTAAATTAACTTAAATTTTAACAAACAATCGTATGTAAGTTATCTATTCAATATGCAAAATTTAACCAAAAAAAATGGAGAAAGCATGCTTAGTAAATCACCTTGTGTACATATATACATATAATATATAATGCGCGTTAAGGCACAGCTATGGTCCCGCGAAAATATTTAATATAGTAAACGTAACAAACACAAATTATAATTAATAATTTAAAATTTTGCAAAAAATATAGACATACATAAAGTACGTTGAAAATGTATTAATAAATCATGTAATGCAAAAGTATTCATAAATTTCAATAATGAAATATTGAACTCAGAAAATAAACATAATCACAACCCTGTAAATGAAAATAACATAAATCGGCTAATTGTTAATAGGTACCTCATGTAAAAGACATAAATCGGTAGTTAATAATATTAATAAACTTATAATAAATTATTAGTGATTATAACCTTTATATTATAAATTAATATAATTATATTCAAATTAAATTTATCAACAAATATTGAAAAGGTCCTACTCAGAATCAAACAAATTATCCTACGATAAATATAAATATATTATATTCTATTACCTTTTTAATTTCCTAACTACAACAGTCACTTATTATTGTGATGATAATTATTCTTGCATCTTGGAAATAGTTGTTCTATGAAACTGATACATTAACTATTATAAAACTATAAAACTTATAATACATACTGAGTAGGTACTGGCTATTTATACACTATACGTTTAATTCTTCAGCTGCAGATAGATTGAATGAATACCTTTCAATTTTCAGGAATAGTTGTATTACACTTTTACTTAAATTAAAATGACCCAACTGCTCTTATGCAAAAAACGTGGAAATAGAAAAACTTAAAAGTTTTAAAAACATTAATTTACATTTCCACTTATAGTCTTATAAGTTTGGACTTACCATGATTTTAATCAATATACTACATTAAGCTTGGTTAAAAATGAAAAGGGTGTTTATAACTTGTCAAATTATTATTATTATAAGAAATTATTATAAATTAGATTAAAAATGATTGTTTGTTAGTTTCAATTTACTGAAAAATCGTTCATAATTTAATTGTGTTCCAGACAATGTTTAGAAAATCTCGTATTACTAAAACAAACACAAATTACTATAATTGTTAAAATCTGTTGGGATTAAAAATATCAAACATCAGAAGTAACTATTATAAGTCTATTATTATCTGAAACGTTTGGTTTAAGCTGGTTTTTATTTGGTAAATTCTTATTTTAGGTACCTACCTATATGTTTTTAACCATTAACTTCATGATACGTTCTATCAAAACTTCATTTGCAAATTTTTTGCAAAAAATTGTCATAGGTATTTGTTCTAAATAAATATTTGAATTGTTTCATTGATCATAATATCATTAGATAGGTCAAAAATGAAAATATTTTATTAAACTATACTTAATTAAACTTTATTATAAATAGTCTCATAATCAATTTTATTAATTAAGTACCTCTGTCATATTCCACGTTATCATTAAATCTGAAATTTCGGTCTGTAAATATATTGAAGTTATCTCTAATTTTGAATATTTCTAAAAAATATGTGGCATTAGTATTCTTTTTAAATTATGTAGTTTTTCCAATAAAATAATAAAGCCTCTGAATTAAGAATATTGAATCCAGGAGACTGCATGACAAAATATAGTGTAACAACAATTATACAGCTAAACAGCTAATGGACACTGTTGCCCATTAAAAAACTAAAAAAACTATTTTGATGAATGTTAAAAACAAAAATGTTTACTCTACTTAAACACCAACTAATCATAATATATAAATGTTAATTTAAAAACAAAATTGTGTACTTGATGTAGAATTTTAATAAAAGTATATTATAAATTGATGAGTATTTAGATCAGTTTATTTCTATACCTACTCCATCTATGTAAGAAGTGAACAAAGCTTTTATTTACATGGAAAAAAATGGCTATTAGAACAACAAAAATATTATTTATTGATATATCAGATAATCCATTTAAGTGGATACCTACACTTATTATCTCAGAAAGAAGAATTAACTTTTTTCTGAATTTGTTTTCTAGAACATTTAAGAAAGAAGCAGTTCAATGCTATTTGTATGTTATTTTTTTCAACCTTATTTTTGGGGTGTAAAACAACTACCTAGGTACTTTGGATTTTCAAATAATAACCTTTCTTAAAAACAATATAAATAGATTGAGTATTAGTTAAAATAAATTTTAGTGTTGATATTTTTGATTCAAGCGGTTGCTAAGATATTCCACTTTTAAGTTTGGGTTGGCGAAGAGTACTTTTAATATGCTGCGTGCCTTACCGCCACAAAATGATCATAATGATACTACACTACTATCCATCAACCCGAACTTAAAAGTGGAATATCTCGTTAACGGATCAACGGAAATCGAAAATTTCAACACTTATTATATTTATTTTAACTAATACACCAACTAATACTCCAAATATCATATTTATGGCATTTTTTATATAGGTTGCCATTTAAAAATCAAAAGTATTTAGTGGTTTACTCCCCCCTTCTCCAAAAAAGGATGACAAAAAATAACATAAACATAAAATTGTAGAACAGCTTGTTTTTTAAATTGTATAGAAAACAAATCCTGGAAAAAGTTGTTACTTTCCGAGATAATAAGTGTACACTGGTAGTATTAATTTTATTCACTGATCAAGTAAAAGTACAGTTTTATAATTTATGTTTCTATTAACACCTATATGTATTTATACATCTTAGTTCATTATTTATTGGAAAAACTCCTAGAAAAATCAAAAAATGATCTCCCAAAAGTACCTTCCTCAGTACGATTTTCTTTCAAAAAAAGTGCTACTCTTGTAATTCGGAGGAAGACTTTTGGTAGAAAAGTTGTCCACAGAAAATAATTCTAATAACTTAGTCCTGAAAGTGTAACTTTATGTAATAGTTTCAAAAGTTAATTGCCATTAGACTAAATAAGCTTAATTCAGTAGATAATCAACATTTTTTGTTATTTTATTGAATTTTTAAAGCAACTGGTGTATATAGTGTGTCTCATCGTGTTCAGCAGATTTTTCTAGCGCTATTAATATTAAATTTTTTTCAATCAGTTTGTCTTTGAGGGGGATCGATTTGGAGAAAAATTAAATTTTTATTTTCATTCCCTAAACACACACAAAAAAAATAACTTTATTTATTCACTTTACAAAATTTTCAAAATAGCCATTTTGTAAAAAATATTATTCTAAAAATTTTAATGTATCATACATTCATAACTGATTAACATAGTTTCTTAATTATAACCGTTTAAATTTATAGAATCTAGATTATGATTTCTTATTGCGTAATGTGATTTCTTATATGTTATTTTATTAAATATCAATTGTTTGCATGTCGATTTTCTAGAAATTAAAATGTCTATAATTAAGAAACTATATCATTGGTTATGAATGTATATACATTAAAATTTTTAGAATAATATTGTTTACAAAATACTATTTTAAAAATTTACTTAAGTAAAAAAATAAAAAGTCATTTTTATTTCGTGTTTAGGGGATAAAAATAAAAATTTAATTTTTCTCAAAATTGATATCTTCCTTGAAAATAAATTGATTGAAAACGAAAAATTGAAAAAAAACAGTGTAAGAAAAATCCATTGGTCGAACATGGTTGGACACACTGTGTTGACGAAATTATACCTATTTCTATAATGAACAATATGATTCACTTTAATTATCATACTGGTAATTAGATAAATATTTTTATTAAGTTTTTTAAGCAATGTTCACAAATGTCTGTGTTTTTGTATTACTGGAGTGAACAAAAATTGCTCTTTCAAATTTATATAATCATATTATTATATCAATTTTACTTTTTAAATAATTTGAAATATAATAAATATAATATAAAATATTTTCTGTCTGTTGAATTACAAACATTTTAAATTGCTAAGAAAACAATAAATGATTGTCTATAACTAAAGCTACAACTTCCTGTCAGTGTTAGGTATTCTACAATATTGTAAAACCACAAAAAAAAGTAAACAATATTTAATAATAAAATACAAATTTTGAGGGGTGTGGGGATAGTAGTTTTTGTAACTCTCATCTGACAATGATAATTATAAATACTATTTACTAGCGTTTACATTTTCATTGAGCATTCTTTTCGATGTCTAATTGCATCAAATTTGAAAAAATTACAAGAATAACTAGGCAAAAATAATTAAACAAGAAGATTTTGTTTAAATTAAAAAAAACAAAAAAACAAAAATTTTAATAATAGTTTTTAATTAATATTTTATTACTTTTATCTATTACAGAAAAAAAAAACACAAATTATCATAATAATATAATATTTATTTAAATATTAAAACAAATTAAATTTTGTAAGAAAAAAAACCAGTGAAACATAACAAACTAAATAAATTAAATAGGGATGTACTTTTGAATGGTTTAAAATAGAAATAAAACTATTTTCATGAAAAAAATTGAAAAAAATAAAAATAAAAACTATATAGCTATATAAATAAAATTAGTAACATGATTGCACGTGTATTACATTAATTACATTAATCAAAATTCTTTTGTCTTTCTATAATCACAATATTTTGTCTTGAAATAAACATCACATTACATAAATTAGTAAATTAATGACA